AAAAAAAAAAAAAAAAAAAAAAAAAAAAAAAGAGCCAGTTTAATAAAAATCAGAGGAGGGCATTATTTAACAGCTGGATTTTATGTTCACTCACTAAAAAGAAAGACACGAGGCAGTGATTATTCCCATATCTAAATGATGGCTGTTTTCAAATGGGTGTGGTCACTCGTACATCCCATGCTCTCTGTACGGTATTATTTTATGATAACCACAGGCAAAATTACAGAATATACGGGTGACCACAACCCTGGTCCTCCATATTCCTCTTGGCCTCCAGTGTGCCAGGGTGACTTCTGCTTCGTCTGTCCCCCAGAGTTCATGTGGCCGGCAGCCCGCACTGGTGCCCACCCAGCGTCCGGGCCTCCTGCGCATGCTCTGCGCATCCTCCTGGGCCGGGTTGCTTGACTGCACCTCCACAGGACGCGGGCATATTTATGTCTCCACGGCGCCCACCGGGCTGAAGGCACTGGTGCATCCCAGCCGCCCGAGCCCAGCAACACCCAGGGGGACGCCAACCGGGTCCTGTGCTTCCTTCCAGCTCGGTGTTCAGAGGCTCGGCCGTGTGCATGTACAGCATGGCAGACGTCAGGGCCGCCTTCAATGGGCCCTACGCCCACAAGGAGAGCGCAGACCACCGCTGGGTGCAGTACGAGGGGCGCATCCCGTACCCCCGGCCCGGCACGGTACGTACCCAGCCAGTCCTCCCAGGCCCTGTGTCCGATGTCTGAGTGGCTATAAACCAGTCTTTTCCTCAGAACAACGTGTGCTGTTGATTTTTAGGTAACCATTGCTGTTAACAGTGCTGTAAGAACGTTTCCACCCTCCACTTGAATTTAACATTTTCCTTTGCATAAGAACTTGAAGCACGAGGGAAATTGTACCTCATGTGTGGGCAGTGCTGTCAGCGTACAAGCACCCCGTGTGTCTGTAGGTTTGGCAATGTGATTTCTTATTATCTAATCCATGTTGACTTGAATTCTTCCAAATTTTGTTAAACATACTCATCTCTGCTGCTGAATACTCAAAATCACTATAACCACATTTGGAAATGTCTGAAATAACGAATGTGTAGATGTGTAAGCTCTCTACTTCCTTACTTCCTTAGTTATTTTAAAATGCTATTTTGTTTTTGTTTGCTTACAATGCTATTATTCTGATTCTTTGTGTGTTTTATTTGGAATGCTGATGTTGAAGTTGGGAACATGAACTGATGTGAAAACCCATTACACAGATATCACGTGCGCTTTGTACACTTTCCCTAATGAACTTGATTTTCTTCAGTAACAGCACTCATACAGCCATTGAAATCATGCTTTACAGTACGTAAAGTGACTACACTTGTAAAATTTGGGAAGCAAGAACTGGGACGGCGGATAGTGGCTACATAACTCACTCTTATTTTACACAGGAGGAGTCTGATGCCCAGAATAATTACATAATTTTCTCCATATCATTTTGCCAAAAATAGCAGAAGTGAGGGGATGCAGGTCGGAGTTTCCCGTGTCCTGTGTCACCTCTGCCTGTTCTCTGGCACTGTCTGATGTCACCTGATACAGTGATGAGTGTCCCACCTCACACTGACTGTTTTCATCACATCTCCTGACATTCTGTCTTTTCTGCACATTTTCAAAGCACCAAAAGTTGTGATTCATCTAATTTCTATTCCTCAGAATAGAAATTTTTGTAAAAACAAGTGGAGCATTCCCAGTGATTCAGTAAGTACTCATCTTGCCGCATTCTTAAAACCTCACAGTGCACCATGATTCCAATTTTACAGAGAAGAAAAAGAGCAGTAAGGTCACATGCATGCTCATAGCCTCATACCTGTGACTTGATTAAGACATTGAATTTAGATCTGCTAAAAGCTCCTCTGTTTCACCTTCACAGTGGTAAAAACGGGCAAGCAGGACCTTGCAGGAGACCCAGGGGACAGGCCTTTCCTCTCCACTGGCAGTACCGGGCTCTGAAACCTCTCTCCATGCTCACTGTCATGGCAGCTCCTGGGGGCACACCTTACTCTAATAGACACAGGCTGAATTAGTTGCTTTCAGCATAACAGTTACAGATTTTACTGACAGCTATTTTACACTTTTGTAGAAAAGCTTAAATGGGTAATTTAGGAAAACACTTTTGTTTTACATTCTCTGCATCCATCTTGCTCTTAATTGAATAACAAATTACTCTGCCAGTTGGGACCTGTCCTGATATTGCCTCTCCGTTAAATTCTACAGGCACAGGAGCCGCCCTGCCTACTTTAGGGTCTTGGTTTTGACAGAATGATGTACTTCCACTGACCAAAAGTCAGGCCCACACCCCTGGCTCACCGCATTACTCTGCAATTTAAAAAGCCTGCAAGTTGCAGGGTGCATTAGAGAATTCCTGAGCTTCAAGTGATTCTCCTGCCCTCTGGTGTCCAGAGAGGCTGTCCGAGCGGTTTCTAGTTTTCCGGGTGGCTTCTTCGGTCACTGTGGACCTGGGGTGTTTGGAGAGAGGAGGTGCCGGGGTAAAAGGAGCAGAAGGAACCGCCCATCCTGCAGGGCCTGGCACGGGTCAGACTGGGCCTGCCGGGAGTCAGCCCCTAATGTTCTGGGGCTGGGGGAGATTGGTGAAGGCACATGATTGAGAGAAATACCTGAGTGCGGTTTTAATACAGAAAATAGCATTATTCTGCAGCGACATAATTAGTGAGTTTTGCATAAATGTAGCATGATGGTCAGTGCTACTCAAAAGTGAGCTTCAGCTTTTACACTCTTACCAAAAAAGTAAGAAAAGTGCTTGTTTTTGAAGTTCAAAAATGTATGAAACATACATCTTACTACTGTTCAACCATTTTGTCACAGTTTTTGTTTCTGTAATGTCTAATTTAGTTAAAACAATAATTTGCTTTAAAATTCTATTTCCTTCTAAGTGGTTGTTGCTTTTACTGCTAATGATTTTATTTAGCTTGACTTTCAAGGACTAAAAGACGTGAAGGTCCCAAGCAGTCCTCCACATTTTGGTAGGGAGTGAAAGGAAATGGTTCAGGTGCTATTATTAAATTCATACTTTTATTTGACTATGTGGATCCTGGTAAATGATAAACACATTGTAATTCTTATTAATATCTTAAACATCAGTAAAACCCACCCTTTCTTTGAATACAGTTTTTTAAATTTTTGAAGTTTTTTGTCCACGTCCATGTGGTTTACAGTCATCTTAGATATGTTAAAGGTGGCACATATAGCCTACACATTGCTGGGAGTTTCTTGTCTGGAGGGAAGCAGGTGTCCGGGGCAGTGGTGAGGTGTGCTGGAAACCCCTCTGGACAGAGGTTGCCGAGTCCAAATCTCACTTTGGTGCATCTCTTCCTGACTCCCAGCCTGCAGAACTATGCCTGTCTTCAGCTCTTTGTTTTTCTTTCTTCCCTTGAGTATAAGGACTATGGTTGGTTTTCTTTTGTTTACCTTCTTTTTATGTTGGAGAAAGAGACCACATAAAATATCAAAAATCAATAATTGAGCTTCTTTTTTTCCTGTTTACTGCCCTCCTGTATTAATTTCTGAACATACAGTGTCCTTTCAGTGAGAAAAAAGAGGACATAAATATAAAAAATGTCCTGTAAAGCTTGATCAAAAAAACTTAAGAATATCTGTAACATTTGATTGAAATGGTCTGTAAAACTTGTTTCCTCTGCAGTACTCCCTGAGTAAACTTCCTCTCTCACTGTTTTCACAATTCAGATCATTCTACAATTGAAAGATTTTTAAAAGTCATATTTGTATATTAATCACTTCAATTTTAATTTATTTTCAATTTAATTTAATAGCCCACTGCGAAAACTATGTTAAACAACAGTTCAGCTTCCACTAGATATAAATGGTGTACTGTCTCCTTCTCTGAAATATTTCGAGTCTTCATGTCACCAAGAAGCCCTACCTGCTATGACTCCACATCGGTGTTTTTTTTCCAGAAAAAAATCAAAGCACAGACCTATCCCTGTCTTCCTACTGCAGTCAGGCTCTTCCGTCCTTCTTTTCTGCCATGAGATAAACCCTCTGAACTCAAGCTGTGAGAGCAGACCCAGCCAGTAGTTCTTGTTTCCCACCGACTCCTGTGCTCCCCAACCCCGTCAGAAGCTTTGCAAATCACGCAGTTCTTGTGACCCCAGGTCCCTGCCAGAGCTACGACCCTGGAGCAGCCCAGGTCCTGGGTCACCAGCTCTGTGAGGGAGATGCTTCTCCTTGGTTGTAGGGGCAGCCTTGAGTCAGAATGCATATTGGTTCTTCAACCAGAATTACGATGATTGTTGGGAGATCCCAACTTTTACCATGATTTTTATTCAAAAATCTAGGCTTTGAGGTGAAAGTGGAACCCATCAACTTCTCCATGTTTTCTGCTAGAGTTTGGGTTCCATCCGGCTGTGTGCCTTGAGCCCTGCCGTATTGCCATCTCAACTGCTTTCAGTCGAGACCCGGTGGCTCTCAGAATCTGGTGTTCTTATTAAATTAAAGAAGCTCAGAAAGAATCATAAAACTGATCATAAATTATGCTGCCCCTTTATGATATAATGTTTTATAAGGCAAACGATCTTTTTTAAGTACCGGGGATTGATATGGTTGATTTTTGTACACGGGTAAAACTGGCCAAATAAAATACATACTTCACAAACAGTGCGTAAACCTCTCTCCTGATGTTTATAGGGCTAGATGGCGACAGTCTCAGCAGAGGGACAGAATGTAGAGATTCCTCGCAGGGTCTGGGCTCTTCTCTCAACCCTGCACCTCAGGGACATGGCCATCACTGTGTTACTCTTCTTCACGAATGCTGCGCTGCTGTGTTTGTTTATTGTGTTTTATTTTCAGGAAGGTTTTCTATTGAATTTAAAATGCATAAATCTTGGGAGACTTGCATTTTGTGCCTCACTGATTCTCATACTTCTTTCCTAGTGAATTCTGCTTCATTTTCTAATTTGCCTGTGACAGCTATTACTTTGCCATCAGTATCTAAAATTGCTGACCAGATCTCCAACTGGCCAGTGTGCTCCTGATTGTGCCTGAGACAGAGCCAACGTTTGCTTTGAAAATTAGGTTCTCTAAATCCTTGGCTATTTGCTATATGCAGTAGTGTTTGCCTTTTTCTGGTGTAGAAATTCTTGTACAGGAAGAGGAATCCTAAAAGCTGAGTGGGTGATCTGCCTCTGGATTTTCTAGGACTCTCGGATAAGGTGGCAGTTTGTGCTTGCACTCTGAGTAATAAACACAACTCAGACTTCCTGTACACACCACTCCTAAGATGCTCCAGGGCTGGCCCTCGGCTTGCTGGACCAATGCCTGCCCATCCTTGCCACACTGTCATTGCTTCGAAAGGAAGCAGCCACCTCCAGGGGAATCCTGCAGCCACAGAAAGCGTCTCACAGCTGCCTGGCACCTGGCCAAGGGGCAGAGCTCTCCTCAGACAAAACCCATCCCCTTCTCCTATCCACAGCTTCGTGCACCTCTCCTGCGGGCCTTCCATGGATAGGTGCAGTGCCAAGCACAACATGGTCACACCTACCCAGGGGCCATCTGCCCGCCCGTCATGGGGACTGCGCTGACCAGGCCCGGCCACCCCAGCTCTGCCAGGCTCTGCCTTTCATCTCTGCATCTTGGGCAGCCCCATACTACTGTCTTAAAGTTCAGCTCACGGCGTTCCTTCCCACTTCCCCCCAGACTCTAAATTGTCTTGCTGATTTCCGAAACAGCATGTGAAAGGGGCCAAGTCACTGTGGCTGGTCCGAGTCTGGGGCCCATGGGTGACAGCTGGAAGGTAACAGGACCCAGGCAGGGAAAAGCGCCGTCGGTCTGTCTCACTCCTGGGTCGCAGAGCTGCAGAAGGAAGATTTTCTAGGAGTTTCTAAGGGAAGCTAAGTAACTGACTGTGATTTTTGCTTCAGACGTGACGTCGCCATAGACTGTGTGTATTTCCTTTATGACATCTTTCTGTGATCTTACCTCGACATGCTGTGTGGTCTCCCAAGTTACTCTGGGACCCGCACGCCTCTCAGAGACCTGTGTCAAAGCATGAAGCCCCGTGGGAGTGCAATACCAAGACTGCAGGGCCAGGCTGGTGCCGTGCTGCTGCAGGCTCGGGCCGCTCTCCCCACCTGCGTGGGCTGTGGACCTGACCATGCGCTGAGCAGGGCAAGGCCAGCATTTCCAGACTGGCGCAGGCCAGGTGTAAATCTGCCAGAGAAAACCTACTACTTCTAGAGATGGTTTTTACAGTCAGCGGAAGCCAGGTTTTCTTTCTCTTCCTCTTCTTTTGCTCAGATTTTATTATACTTTGGCAGAAGCAGCAAGCAATAGGAACGTTGTTAGATTTGTTTCTCTGCTAAAGCTTCATGTCATCATGCAGCTGGACTTTCTTACATAAAACTTTCTAATTAGTTAAAAAATTTTGAGATAAAAGTTGTGGCTTGAATGGCAGGATATTTTTTTGAGGAACTTTGGCTGCCACACTACTACAGCTGCAGAGTCAGAAGAGATTTCTTCTCAAGTTGGGAGGCTCCTTCAAAAATGCACCGCGAGCATGGTCTTGCCCTGCCTTTGATTTTCCTGACAGCCAGCCAGGCTGAGCCGCAGGCATGGAAAGCTGCAGGGCCGTGAATGCCTGAGAGCCTGGAACTGGGGGAGCTTTGAACGCTGGAGCTCCTTGTCCGTTTGAGCCACTGCCTGATCTGTTTAAGACAGGACCCTCCACTGACAAGTGGTAGCTTCTGTGTGCAGAAACAATGATGGATACACAGGTCTTCATCGTCAAAACCACATCCACTTGGATGCTAAACCAGTACCAAAAGGCTTATGAGGACACTTCTCTCTCCTTGCCCCAGGGCAGGGGTGAATAAGAGATATCAAGGAAGGGTCCATTTCTTACTGCTGGGCGTGGAGGAGTCTTGCTAAAGATAGGTGCTCTGCAGTGAGGCACAGGACATCACTAACAGGTTTTTAGTAGAGCTTTGATGTTTGTACGCACTCATAATGAGACACTCTGATTTCATTGTTACAAATTCTTGGGCCAGAGTCATAGGAGGTGACTAACTGTGGGCATTCAGTGGAGGCTTTTGTGAGAGGTCTGCTGTGTTTGCAGCACTGGCATGATTCTCACAATGGCCTAAAACACACGCTCGGGGCTCCAACTCCTTTAAAAGCTCAGAGAGAAAAATGCTTTCACACAAAATTCCTCTAGCATCACCCATTCTATTTTGAACACCCTGTGCCAGTTAAGTAAAGTTTCCCATCCTGGATTTATTCGTCCTTTAAGAGTTCAGGTGTGACAACGACGATATTGCACTGCATGGAGAACTTTCTCACAATGTTTCATGCTTTTTAGTCGCTTCTAACATTTATTTTTATTAGGATGTGTTTGCAGTACCACATGGCTAATTCGTCGTGGCTAGTTGGTACATGTACATAACACACCTTAATTAAGTGTAAAGAATATAAATTGCAATATTTGAAATAGACTGAGCATGTGAGAGAGTATATGTTTTCTGGGAAAATATGTGAAATAGTAAAGTGATTCTTGTGTTTTGGGATAAAACCACATTATATTTGATTTGTACTAATTTGTACTTTTATTTAACCACCAGGGGGCAGGTTGTGTTAACTATTTATTTAGCAGAGGGTGAAAATTCCCCAGGAAGTGATTTCACGCAGAGGAGGGAAATTCCCGACGTCTTCACAGATCCCAGGGAGGAATGGTCCTACTGCTCTCAGTAACTTCACACTGGCTCTAACACAACCAGACACTTACAACTGCAAGCTTACGAAGCTCTTTTGATAGTATTTTTGTGACCTGTTCATTTGTTCTTTTTAATTTTCAAAATACTCATGGTTTTATTTGAACTAAAACCTTGTGTTTACTCAAAAGAAATTGAAAATAGTGGTTTCTTACAGTCTCGCATTCATAGATCAACTTCTTAACAGTTCCAACTTAATTCCAAGAATGTCATTAGAAACAATAATTGTTATATGAAATCCATCTTTACAGGAAGAGACTTGACAGTGGGATCTTTTAAAAAGTTTAGGGTGTCTTTGAGGGGGATAAAAAGATTTAAACACAGCGGAGAAGCACTGTGTGTGTTTCCTCGGGTGACTCAGGGCCGCGGTCTCTGTCCGCCCTAGGCTTCTCCACAATGGCCCTGGCTGGGCCGTTGGCAGGGAGAGTTCCCAGGCCCACAGCAATGTCTTTCTCCCCACGTCTCTCCGCAGTGTCCCAGCAGGACCTATGACCCGCTGATCAAGTCCACCAGAGACTTCCCCGATGACGTGGTCAGCTTCGTCCGCAGACACCCACTGATGTACAAGGCTGTATACCCAGCCGCGGGGGCCCCGACCTTCAGGCGGATCAACGTGGACTACAGGCTCACACAGATCGTGGTGGACCGCGTGGTAGCTGAGGATGGGCAGTACGACGTCATGTTCCTCGGGACAGGTGAGCACAGCGAGGCCACCGGTGAGGTTTCGGAACATGAGTAGCTGTCAGGCAGTCCCTCTGGAACGGTGTGAAATGGGGCAAAGCCTGTCTCTAGTTGATGATCTTGGATGTCTCGCAGCCTGTTTGAGATTTCAAAGCATATTTCACTCTCGTGGCTGCGGAGGGCCTCTTATCAACTGGGAGCTCGTGTGCTGAGCTACTGTGGACTGCAGGGGAGCAAGCTGGGCCTCCTTGGCTCTGCGTGCTCACACTTGGGCTTGCCCTGTCTCTGCGCCTTTCCCATCCCGCGAGTTTGGGAACCACTGACTTGGCTGATGCCAGGCAGCCTTCTGGACACTTCTTCCCATTACTTCGCAGTCACCTTTAAGTGGAAACTTCTTGGAGATTTTTTCCTGTTCATGAATTCTGTGGACTATGATGAATTTTATGTATTCTCTTGATTGGAGCTCATTTTATTTCTTTCTGGTCTAGCCACTCAGTAATTAATTATGAAACGATTAACACATTTTTCTGAAAGTGATGTGTTAACCATCTCAAAATGTCTGAAAAAGTATAATCAAATAATGCTTTTGTGAATCCTAGAAGAGCAAGTGTCAGGAGAGCATATATGCATGCCCTAGATAATGCTGCACCATCCAGTGGGGCCAGAAACGCACACATCTCTAGTGGACGGACGCTTATGTTGGAACAGGCTTTTAAGAGTAGAAGGCAGTTTTAGGATTATTTCAGAATTAAGTGTCACCCTTAAGAAGCTGTGTGGTAAGCTCGGAGATCCACATGCACCAGCGTGTGACAAGTCCAAGAGCCCCACACAGGCAGGGCGCGCAGGACCAGAGATCCTGGCCGGCCTGCCCCAGGTCCAGAGTGGAGTCAGGGCCACGCTGATCCTCCTCAGCATGACATCGGCCCTCACTCCACCTTTAACAGCTCAGGTCTAAATGTCATGCAGCCATTAGGTGGTACTAGGTAACTTTTACCGAGAAAATTATAGCAGTGTTAAGATAGCTAATCGTGACATTTAGAAAATGTATATTTAATACCTTTCAGATGCTGGAGTCATTGAAAAATGACTGAACAATCCAAGCTATTTTGTACATTTAAGAAAAATACTATCTGTATTCTAGTAATCAAAGCCCAGGCTCAGAATGAAAGGTATCTGTCTCATACAAGTTAATTATAAAGTGGGATTTATTATTCTCTTTTATCTTTTGTATGAGTATGCCACCTTGTGGAACTACAATAAAAGATGATGTATTCGAGACATCTTTTCTAAACATTGATTTTTTTTGTTTTACATTATTAATATTGCATTGTCTATTAAGTAGAACTAAAACAGGTTTAAACAAAAGCTCAGCTTCTGGTCCGTTTAGCAATGATTCGGAAGGTAGAATGCATTTGAGGAACTACAGTTTCCCCATAGATGGCCACAATCATTTCTTACCGATCCATTAGCATTATTTAAAGAGTATACATACATCTTACATTTTGTGATGAATTATTATAAGAAACACTGAGAAAATGTCTGTTACACAGAGAGATTAGTACACAGAGCAGCAAGTAGTCGTTTTAATATATTTTAACTTTTTAAATCAAGACCTTGAAATTTTGCTTCATCTTTGCTATAATTTCAAATAATATTTAAATGAGGCTTAACAGTGTATTCTTCTGTATCTCTTTCAACAGTCTCTTTACATATATCTGTTCTACCAGGTAAAAGCTGCAATGTTTCAGAAAGGGAAAATCAGCTACACTAACTAAGCTTTATTTCTTATATGTTTTATTTAATCTGATTGCTTGAAAAATGTTTAAAGAAAGATGAAAGAAACAAGTGGAGGTGCCTGGCGAGCTGCTAACCCTCGATGTAGCAGCAGAGGTGGCAAGATCGCGGGTTTGTGTTTTTCAGACATCGGGACTGTGCTTAAAGTGGTCAGCATTTCCAAGGAGAAGTGGGGCTCAGAGGAGGTCCTGCTGGAGGAGCTGCAGGTCTTCAAGGTAAGCTGGGCTGAGGTGCGGCACGAGGCAGTCCTTACACCAGCGCTTTCCCACTACAAAGTCAGCCTCCTCGTTTTCCTTTTCACTAAGCACTCCAAAGGTTTTACACACGAAAAGCACCAAGGCCCAGCTCCCTACGGAGCAGGGTCTCTGGTGGCTCCTGGGGTCATCTCACATTCCCATTCTCCACGCGGTGAGCCGTCCACAAATCGCCAGAGTGGAGAAGACCTGGGGTCTCCTTCGTGATCCAGCTGCTTTCCTACTGGATAAACCCTCCTTTGCAATTTCCCGCTTGAATTTGAGAAAACTGGAAGAGCGTCTGTATCACGTACCCCTGCTTTTCTGTAAGGAAATTAACACAAAGTACATTCAGGGTCTGCACAGCTTCATGAGGGTAATTCTTCCCGTGTGCTGCATTGCTCTCACTGTCTAAGAGTTCAGACAGCTAGAAGAGGCCAGCAAATTTTGGTAATTCTTTGGATTTTTAGCAGTGACTTTAAATTGGACATGCCTAGGAAGCCTCGATGAAACATCATTTAAAATTACAGTCTAAGAGTTCAGACAGCTAGAAGAGGCCAGCAAATTTTGGTAATTCTTTGGAGTTTTAGCAGTGACTTTAAATTGGACATGCCTAGGAAGCCTCGATGAAACATCATTTAAAATTACTTCCTGAAAAGAACACTAATAATAAAATTATATTTCTTAGAAAAGCTTTTTAAAAACATGCCGTGTTGTCTTCTAATGTTTACTTGGCACAGGTTATTAATGACTGTGTCCACGTAAACATCTTTTCCCTACAAGGGAGTGGAACTTTCCACACAGCAGGGCCTGGTGACCAGTGAGGAGGGTCCTCAGGTCCTGCTTGCCCTGGGATGAGAGTAGTGTCAGGAAGCTCACAACGCAAGGCCTGCAAGCTGGCCTCCACCCAAACAAAACCTCGGTAGTTCCTAAGTGAAAGGCAAGTTTCAGATATGAGGGTGAACCCAGAGGTGTAAACGAAGCCCCCCTCACATCCCTGAGCCCATCCGAGTGAGCCCTGCCCCACTTACCAGAGAGTGGTGGGGAGGGATTGCCTGGCTGAGCTAGGGCCTTGTATTGTTCTCTTTTGTTTTTAAATTATGTTTTAAAAAAATAGCTTTATTAATGTTTATTCCATGAACAAACAAACAAAAAAAACACCCACACGCAATTAATTTACACAATTTGATGAGTTTGGCCATTGTTAAAAAAAAATCCATCACAAAAACTATTGGACAGAATGTCCTCACTTGCTATTTCTCTCTTACAAATTGTCTTTAATATCTGCTGCTGTTGGTTGAGTAGTAAATGCAGGCTGACAGTAGGTGACTAAATAGATACATGAAACATAAATGGGGAATACATTTTATACAACGCCCTGCTCGGCCACTGTGTCCTCTGTTGACGGGGGCCACCCTAACGCTGTGGGGTTCACTTCTTTCCTACTTTTCCTTTGTCCAAACTCATCCTGCACAGCCTGTTTCTTTTCATACCTTTAATAAAACTGCTATTATTTGAAAACTCCCATTCTTTTTGGCCTAACAGCCTGAATATTCACATTTCTGACTTTACCTTGTGTGTGCAGAACCATACTGTCCACGTACCAAACCGGCCTAGCTCCCCACATCCCGTGTTGGGGTCCTGCATCCCAAAGTGTCCCGCAGAGGGCTGGGACTCCCAGCAGGGGCCAGCTAACTACACAGAGCTCCGCTACTGGGACAAGTTTTTGAGTCTCTGGTCTATGTAGGCGCAGAAAGAGGCAATAAATAATTGTGGAGATTTCCTTGTCAACACTTGCTTGGATTTTATGGAAGCAATTTAAGAAAAGCCGATTTTGAAGAAGGAGAAAACCTGTGAGTAGCTGGGAACAATTTTCAATGCAAAGCATTTCTTCATACAGTTAGATACTTTTCTTTAATCAGATACTTTAAAACAACTATCTTCATCATCCCTGCTGTGGCAGAATCACTGTGCAGTGCAGGAGAATTGCAAACACTGACACCCATCTTCTGTATCTATCAGAGGCTGAACGTTTACTTCCATATTCTTTGGCATAAGATGGAAGGACAGAGAGCTTAGAATGAAAGACTGAGCGACCACCTTTACTGACGTTTCCCTTCCCTTTCAGCGCCCAACGACCATCCTGGCCATGGAGCTGTCTCGGAAGCAGGTACCTACTCATTTCTGTGCAAAAACCCACCACACAAGGGACAAGCTGCTTTGAACAAGGTTCATCTGAAGAATCCATTTAAATTGGAAATCAAATTGTAAATAGTGCAGAAAGTTATACATTATTTGTTTCTCTTACTAGTGATCAGAAAGCACTGCTTCAGCCTTGCCTCCGCAGGATGGGGAATTCATCAGTTGAGCAATGTTTCTTTCTCTTCCTTGTTCTTAAAAGCTGAGCTTAGTTTTCAGGCCTCAAAGCGGGTGTTTCTGTCAAAGTCAGAAGAAATACATGTAGAATAATGGCTCTGACCACCTAAAATCTTTCATTAGGGCATCTAGCCCTGAGAATAGGGAGCGTGGTCAGCCTTCCTCATACCACACAGTCTCTAACTGTGAGGACCAGTGTCCTCAGGACTGAAGTAGAGGAACCTCCCGTGTATACCATGAGCTTTACCGGGACTCGGCAGAGTAGCACTTGAAAGAGAGAGGTACATTGTAAGTCTGAAGCAAATGGAAGCTCACAGTACTGATCACTGTACAGTGTGATTGCACAGGTCCCGGGGGTGATTCTCCAAATCCCAGTGATGTAAGAGACTGATCCTTGCATTGCCACTGGCACCTGCATCCTTAAGATTTAAGGAAATCATGTGATAATGCATATTCAACATCAAGGCATTGCTCAGATTTTCTAAATCTACTCTGCCTAGTATAGAGGAACCATCGCTAGGGAAAGATCTAAGTAGGATTCTGCTTTAGTTCGTTCCCTTGATTTGCTCATTTATCCAACAGAAATTTCTTAAAAATCTACGCTGTGCTTTTAGGGTTCAGAAAATAAGTAAGTGACACAGCATTAGCCTCCCCATGCTGGGGTAGAGCTGAGAGACCAAGAGGCACGCTCACAATGCAGAATAAAGGTGGAGACAGGAAGGAGAGAGGCAGGAGGAAGGAGGAGCCCGAAAGCGAGCCAGCAGGAGTGAGCACAAGGCGGACAGCACAACCGGAGCCAGGCAGGACACCGTGAGCCCCAGGCGTGGATGCAGGGGTGCAAGCTGGCGGACCCCGGCAGAGCTGTGGAGAAGGAGAGCTCTCCTGCCCGTCTCATGCTCTGGCTGTGACCGACACAATGACACCAGGGCCTCGGGTGTTCAAGGGAGAAGAGATCAGAGGTGAACCTGTGCCATTAGTCCTGCACGAGTTAGGCCCGCGCTTACACATCCTCCTGAGGTGTTTGAGGCTTACCCAGGAGCAGTGGAAAGCTTTAGGGTTTAAGCAGCGGCTGTCCCCAGCGGATTTTCCTTCTAGCAGGGTAGTGAGCGGCAGCAGCCTGGGGGAGGGGTGGGGCCCTCGGCAGAGGATGCTGGGAAGGAGGCTCACCTGAGGTAACTGGGACACTTCGAGGCATCCAGGGAAGACAAGACAAGCGTGGGGAGAGAGCCCAGCAGGGGAAGGGAGAGGAGGAAGCAGCATGGTGATTGTTGTGCTCCAGGGACAAGCTGAGCGTGAGAGGAGCTCAGGTGGCTGCAGGTACTGTCCCGGTGTTGGCCTGCACATCGGCGAGGAGCGCAGAAGCCACTGAGCTCAGGATCTCATTGTTTGCAGGACACCGAAGTCCCTGTACCACCGAAAGGGTCGAAAGAATGAAAATAGGAAACAAGGAAATCCCACATTTAACTCCAAGAAAGAAGTCGCAAAGGAGGCAAATGTCTGAGGCAGAAATGAGAGAATAGGAAAAGTAGAGTTTTAAGAAAAGTATTGTCACCAGCCTCAAATGCTATAGAGGAGTACAGCAGATAGAAAGCAGTGTTTATGGCATTTAGGAGCTGGGCAAGTCTTGAGTGAAGCATTTCATGGGCTGCGCAGGTAGAAGGTGGATTTCCCTGGTACCGCCTGTTACCCCTGCTGGAGGCTGTTTCAGAGACGTGTCTCCTTTGCCGGAAGTGTGGATGGCCCACTAGAGTTGGCCAGGCGTTCTCCGAGGCACAGAGTGGGGGATCCACGGCCCGAGGTGGCACACTCTCAGGGAGGACGTGGGGGAGGAGTGCGTAAGTCTCCAGGCCAGAGTTCAAGATGTGCTGTATTTGCTGTGCTTGTAGTTACCCGGGAGACAGGAAATCTCCAGCTGCTCTGCACTCTCTTCATGGGGACTCCAGACATTCTCTGCAGCACTCATAACCCACGTTCTGCCAGGGGGCGGGACTTCATTAGCAAATGCAGTGTTTAATTAAGGAGAGAAGAAAGTTTCTGAATTCTCTCTGCAGTCACCTCTCACATAGGGAGCGGTGGCAGAGGAGGACGGTTCATTCTGCCAACTGCATCTGTGCTCAGTATAACCCACCAAAGTGTACTTCCTGCTGTGGAGGAGGGATCTGATGTCTTCACTGTTCAGTGTAGGAGGGTTAGGACCTTCCTAGATCGCTGACCAGCTCATTCGAGATTTAGAGAACAGTGTCCATTTCAGAATGGACATCTCCACACCCAGCATCCTGACCCACAAAGGAGGAGTGACCCTGTGCAAGTGTCTGTAATGGCAGGACACCGGGGAGGCAGATTCAGAGCCACCATGCGGAGTTCAAGGAAAGAAAGTTGCTAAGGCCGGTCTAAGACGGCACCGATGCATTTGATTTGTCTGCTTTCCAGCAACAGCTGTACATCGGTTCCCGAGACGGATTGGTCCAGCTCGCTCTGCACCGCTGCGACACCTACGGGGAGGCCTGTGCTGACTGCTGCCTGGCCAGAGACCCCTACTGTGCCTGGGACGGAAATGCGTGCTCGCGCTACGCTCCCACCTCCAAGAGGTAAGAACCCGGCCCCGCAAAGCTACCTTTCTGTAGGTCAGGAGTCCCTGTCTCACGTTAAACAGAAGTCCGCAGAGACCCAGCTCCACGGACGGAATGATAAGGTTGGAGGGCTGCTCATAGTTTCACCCAAAACTGAATTTGGGACCTTGAGAGCTTGTTCGGAGGTTCTAGCTGGGGAGAGCAGCTACTCGTAAAGCCTAGACTGAGGGGAGGGTCGAGGGTGGTCATCCTCTTGGACGGAGCTCACGGCTTTCGAGGGACACACACGGAGTAGTGAGGGAGGAAGGGGACACGCGCCTAGCCAGCCAGATCAGCCAGACCAGCCCTGGCGACCCATGGGGTGACGGATGTCGTAGCCAGATTGCCCTCACAGCCCTAAAACTGAATTTTGAAGGAGGGTAGACTAGATGTTCTGAAATTCAGAAATGTGGAACTTTGATAAACCCTGATAAATTGTTTATATTATTTTCTTTCATTTAAGTCACACTCCCTTAAAAATTTGTTTTCCTCCATAACTTTTCTTTTTTATATTCCTTCCCTCTTGTTTCTAAATATGCATGTATTTATATACTTAGTGTTTTGTAAATAGTTTATAAATCTATGTATTCATAAAAGTGCAGATTTTGTATTCCAGTATCTTGGTAGAATTTTGCTTTTTACTCTAATAACTAATTTGATCGATTTCTTTCAATTAGATCCATTTCTTTCTTTTTCTACTTTTTTTTTTTTCCTGGGGATCGAACTAATGTCCTTGTGCTTGCAAGGAAGGCAGCAGAACCACTGAGCTCAATCCCTTGCCCTAAGCAGATTCATTTCAGGGACACACGTGGGAAACACCACAGAGCTATACAGTATTCATCTCAACACTAATTTAATACCAAAATATTGGAGAAGCAACACCAGCTAAATGTATAATAACTATTTTAGAATTACATTATAGCAATGTTATTTTTTAAAGTATATTTTCTTCAAGGTAGAATATCAGAAAATTGTGAATTTTTTCCTTTAGGTCTTTTTTTTTTTTTTTTTAGTAAATTAAGGGGTGAGTATATACTAGTCACAGCACACACATACTTTTTCATTTTGCTACTTTATTGATTTGTGAAATTGCAAACCCTAGGAGTCCCAGAATGAATGTAGAATACAGCAGGTGTTGGGTTAGGACACATTCTCCACTCTCTCACACTGTGGATGTACTCAGTTGTTGAGAGTTGAAAGCAGAGGTTCACTGAATCTTATGTAGGTGTTCTGTGGAGCATAGGCTCACCGATGCGGCCTGGGGGCTCCTCCCTGGGAGCTCAAGGTCGGATGCTCATTAGCTGGCAGTAACCCTTCAGCTTGATGAATCGACCCCATTCCTTAAGAAGCCAAGTTTGGAAACATTCTTGACCTTGTGGGCTGCGTGCTCCGTAACTTTTCCTCTGCATGTTTCTCAAGACTGCGTCTCAGGCTTTGCACCACCTGGACTTTCCTGGCCCTGACAGCAGTCCCTCGGGAGACTAGAGATGTGCATGGGAAGGTCTCTGGCTGCTGTTGTCAGGTCGTCAGGTCAGCTGGCCCCTAGGAGTCCTGGACAATTGAGAAAGCTTGTGCTGGCTCTGAACGCTGCAGGGGCCGCACAGGTGCAGGGAGCGCAGGGTGGGGCGCTGGCCCTCGAGTCAGGCGCAGGAAGGGAGGATGGCTGCAGGTAGAAAAGCCAAGTGTCTGGAGAGAGAGATGTGTTTAAACTGAAATAAATGCTACATAATGGGTACACACAAAGAAATCACTGGGTCCTCCGTTAATAGCTGCAGCGTTTGTATTTTTATGTTCTTGTGAATCAGGTAAAAATACATGTAATTTAAGGTAAAAATACAGCCAAAGCAAATGAGAATGTACCCTAAGAATGTAAGCCATACTTAGATATAGCACAGGTATGTGTGTGTGTGTGTGTGTGTGTGTGTGTGTATGCGTGATACTTGCTCTTGTCTTTGAAAGAAAATATGTGATATAATGCAGAAGCCATATTTTTATTAATTATTATTATTATTCCAGAAAAATGTGCGCTACACATCAACACATATAGATATCATGTAGCCATTCACACCGTCTCAAACTTGGACTTCTTCAAACAATGTAAAACTCATTGCTTAAGCAAACCCATGTGACTGTGATGTATACATGCTGTGGTTTTTTTCATACTGTGATAAAACTCCGTCACACATTATTCTTTTTCCATTGCTGGACAGAGAGCAGAGTCACCCTCACGCCGTGCGTGTGTCCTAGATTCTGTTTAGTGTCCACCTGTTCTGTTCAGTGATTGGTCAAATCAGAAAGGAGAGGTAGCTAAGTAAGATTCAGACACGCTTCGTGTCAAGTGAATTTTTATTAGATTTTACTACCAGAGGTATTTAGATCAATTGAGAGTGAGTGGAGTAATGCCTCCCGTGAAGCAGAGCAAGAGCGTGAGGGTCATTCTGCGTCTATCACTGCGAATGTGAGCCATAGCCTTGTTCATCGCTCTTCGGGAGAGGCCCTGGGGTTGAGCCCCTGGCCTCATAGTACTATGCAAGCACCTACCCTGAGCTGTGCCGGCTCGCATGCTGCTCTGTGTCCTGGCCGTTACCCTAGCAGTTTGATCAGTGTGATCTCTTTCTGCAGGCGAGCGAGGCGCCAGGACGTGAAGTACGGGGACCCGATCACCCAGTGCTGGGACGTGGAAGACAGTAAGTACACGCAGCTTCTTTTGCTTTCGTTCTCATCTCACATGATAATCTCAGCCTTTATTTCATGTCTCCGAACATCCATTGTATAAGAATATCTCATTTCACGCAATGCTTATGTTCTGGAAAAGCAGCAGGAAATTTGTAAGTCAACCCCTTTCTACGTACCTAAGTGAATAATCCTTTGTTACATTATGATTTGTTTCACATGTCATTTAAGGTTCTTACGCTGTGGCTTTTGTTTCATTTTTACTGCCTTATCCTTGTAAAGCCTGAAAACTGCTTTAGAGATAAAGCAGGATATAGCCCCAAACATTCCGACGTGTACAGTAAACCCAGAGACCTCCCAGAAAGGCCAGTGGAGCTCCAGCCCTGATGAGAGAATCAGGGGCCCGGGCTCCCTTAGAAACCCACACATCCACCCTGCAGCGAGCAGTAAGAGAGTCCCACGCTCACGCGGCTGTCCTGAGTGTTCTGCGTGACGGCCACACTCTCCAGGGAGCCTGGTGTCCCGGGATCGTTGCAGAGCCGTCAGGGACCTGCGGGCTGAGCAGAAGGGGAGCCGCTCGGCACAGGCAGCTTTGCTCTGGAGCAGACGACTCCCGGAGAGGAAGACTTGGTGGGGTGAATGGAGAGGTCAGGGAGAGGCAAGGCCGGAGTCTGAAAAGGGGAAAATCCCCAAGTAGGTGGAACTGTAGTAGATGCTTTCCATTCTCGAACTGTGCCTGAAGCTAGAACACACACATGCGTGTGCACCTCACCACACCCGGGGGAAGAAAAGAGAAGCCTTTTTCTCACTGCACTGCCACCCCCCCAGATTTCCATGGATGGAAGCTTTCGCTCTAGTGGCATTTTCTTCCTTTAACAACAAGGCGGCTATTTTTAACTCCTAAGTCCGTTCCTCTGAAAGGCAAAGTGTGGCCTGGAAGACTGACTCCTTTCCCAAGGTGCTCGCATCTCACTGCTTTGTTCCGGGTTTTATTTGGGACTCTTGGCTGCGTGCTATGTAAGCGATTCTGACTTGTGTGACGATTTAATCAGAGACCAGCACAGGCGTCCAGGATGTGCACATGGGAAGAGGGAGAAGGCACTCGTCTGAGCATCCCCGCAGTTTGTACGCTCGTGTGTGTGTGAGGGGAGGGACAGACGGTGAGCACAGACCCCCGTGAAGTGAAGGCTGTCTGCAGGGCTCGCACCCTAACTGCTGTGGCCCAGTCCCGTGGCTGCTGTGGCCAGTGCTGCCTTTCCAATCATGATATGCTTACTCTGCCCAGGCCCTGCTTGGCAAGGCCATTGGCAGCTTCCTTCTCGCCACACCCAGTGCCAATCTCAGTTCTCGTTTTGCCTTCATCTCTAATTTCTCCTTCCTCGGAGCACTTTCTGTCCTGCTGCCGAATGGGACTGGGCCCTGAGAGCTGGGACTGCACAGGGAGTGTGAGTGAGGCGCGAGTCATTCGGTGGGGCTGTTGAGGCCAGGAGGCTGGGGTGGCCTGCTGTCCGGAGAGGGCTCCCACCCTGCGTGCTCTCAGAGCCTTCCGCGTGCTCTCCACTTCCGCCCCGCACCGCCTTAGCGTCCTGTGCCCGCCTTCCAGCACGTGGCACGTCCCCAGCCACTCTCCGTTCCCCGTTGTTCTCTCCTTGATGTCTGCACCCGATTCTCAGTCCAGGTGGAAAGGGGTCCTTCTGGACCCGTGCACCGCACCCCTGAACCCTCCTGCACAGCCCCGGCCTGCCTGGGAGAGGCAGCACCTTCCGGACATGCCGGCTCTGCAGACCTCTCTACCGCGCCCATGCCCAGCCCCACCTTCACCTGCAGCCAGGCGCAGAAGGAGCCTGCGGTGGTCTCTCTCCCTCCTTCCCGTCCTATCAATCTCTTGGAAGTCCGTGGCCTAGGGCCAGCCTTGCCTCCTTCTCCTGGCCCCTGTGGCCATGTGGACCTCCCTGCTGCCCTGCTCCTGCTCCACAGCCTCCTCTGGCTCCCTCTGCCGATGTTGGTTTCTCCCCGTCTGCTCCTCCTTGGTCAGTGGGATATGCTCAGCCTCCTCACAAGAGCTCTGCGGCCCCTGACGTAAACACTGGTCCCTGCCTCCCAGCTCTAACAGTGAACCTGCACAGCTTTGCCTGGCCTGGGGGGAGGTTGTTCTCCTGCTGCCAGTGCACACTGGCCTTTCTCCCCTGCAGGGCCCACACTGAGCACCAGATGTGCTGCCAGCATCTGCTGCCCTCTCTTCTTCAAACACTCACCCTGCCGAATCCTCTCTGCCCTGGTCCTGAAATTGATGAGCGAATTCCCCAAGACCTTCCTAGTCGTCTTTTCTGCCCACCTACACAGTAGCCCCTCATCTGCTCTCAGGTAGCTGATACACAGGTGAAATCCTCACTTGGTCCTTTCTGGACTGTTCGTATCCATCACTGGATACGAAGTTCCTGGTTCATCCAGCACTGCAGGCAGTGGGGATCACAGATGGGGGTATGAGGGTGCCTGGGGAGAGGGTGAGGTTTCACAAAGTAACAGGAATGGCGTCAGAAAGGCCGCACACATTTTGGTTCACTGTGCGGTAGTGCCCACGTTATTGGTGTTTATGTTTACCTCACAGCTGGACAGGACCCAGGCATTTCCTACATCTCGGGAAAGGTTTTCCTATTGCAATGATTGACACCTGTACTGATTATTGCTTGGAATATGAGGAGCTGGAGGCAGAGGGGCATCTGGGGAGTGACATCTTGGCCATGAGGATGCTCACACGCCAGAGGGGTTGCCGGAGAGAGGAGGGCAGATGGGCCACACTCGCAGTGAGGGCAGGAGGGGAGCCGCTTCCAGTCCGTGAAGGTGTGCCACGTGCGCCACGCCACCCATGGGCTGCAGCCGTGTCTTCAGTCAGGGCCGGCGGGCACCGTGCTTCCTCCTCCTCCTTTCTTTCCCTGGTCCTTTATTGTTCGATGCTGTGAAACCACCTTCTTATGGATGGCGCCTCACCAATCCGTACAGATGAGCTGAGCTTGGAAATGGTGAACTCGGCCAGTCACGCAGTTCAGTGGCCTCACAATCATGATGATGGGTTCTGTGTAACTCTTCAGATGCAGCCCAGGCAAGGCCGAGGCCCCAGCCAGCATGTAGTGTCAAGAAGCTTTCTGCCATCCCATCGTGAGGTCTCCTCGCTGCAGCTTAGACAGGGAGCTCTCCTCTTCCCAGATCGCACTTAGGAAAGTTTTACATGTTTAAGAATTTGATGTCACAATATGTGTTGTGCATGTGTTTGTGTGTTTGTATGTGTATAATCTGTACATGGCTAAACAATAATAGAATAGTCTGTATTATATTACATGTATGTTTCTGTGTCATGTGTTTAAATGCATTTTTGTATGCATATGCTTAAAAAAATTTAAATTAGGTAGTATAAAATACAGAAATTAAATAAACATTATTTAGGACAAGAATAAATTCATGTAACTTCTGTAGTGATGAAATTGTGCTGTACTGTATCGTCACTGATTCAAAAGGATTTAAGGAAGTGCATGTCATCCTTTGGGTCTATCTCACTAGTTTAGCTTTCTCTCCTTGAACCAACTTTGAGGTTGATGTGTCTGCCTCAGTTTCCCTTGAGCCCAGGCCCCATGCCCAGCATCCCTGGGCTCAGAGACGGGCCCTGGTCTAGGGAGCACATTTGCCCTCTGGGGACCTGCATCTCCCACCCATGCTGGGCACTGGCAGTCTTCCCTGCATTAGGAACTTAAGTGAGTTGGGAACTTGCAGGCGTGACCTGCAGAATGGCTGCAGATCATGGGTCAGTACAAGTTTTAGGAAGAATCCACACATTGGGAAGGCTGACCGATGGCATGAGCACATTTGACGTCATTACTATAAGTAAAACACAGATGGACTCAGACGCAGGTGCTGTGTGCACTGCCCACCCGCTGCTGGCCCTGTGTGTTTGGCCTTAATCTTTCGCTGAGGCTGAGGGCTCAGATGAGAAAGGGGCTGGTCGGCACAACTGGACGCATGAAGATTCGCTGAGAAAGTGCACGGTGAGCCTGGGCGAGCCACTGACCTCTTCTGTGATCAGATGGGAGCTGTGGATCTCACAGCCCACCTGGGCATAGCTCTCCCTACTGGGGAGTGGATTTCAAGGGGTCAGGGGTTTCTGGGAAGGAGGTGGCAGATAAGCTGGTCCTTACATCACAGGAGCAGTCTCCCGGCAAGCAGGGCAGGCTCAGGAATTTTTCTGGAAAAGAAGAGAATAATTTGATAGCTAATACAGACAGGGACTGCATTCTGTCTTGTCTGGCTTTGTTTCCTTGATGGGATTTCACTGTAGTTAACTTTTCTCATACCAAAATGTCTTAATGTTTTCTAGTCTGCTCTGTGGGCCGATTCAGACTCACTGCCTCTCTAACAGTGAAGTTAGCTGTTCTTCCAGAACTGACTATGAATTACTTATATTTCATGTGAACAAAAGGGATAAGGCATTAAAAGATGCCAACAGTTCATTCAGCTTAGAGACACAGTGCTCATAGTTTGATCTTGTAAATTATTGTTTTTAAAAAATGTAAGTTGTAAATATAGAAATGAAAGAGTAAATATTGCAAGACAGATGTAGAATTTTAAAAAACAACCTATTGGATAAAACATGACTCTTTAGGCAACAATATTACAGCACAAATTTCCTTTCTCTTTAACAATGTGCGTATTCGTTTTCAATGGCATCTGTTCTAAATCAGTCTATTTTCCCATTGCTTTTAAAATCAGGTCAGGGTTAATCTCCTATTCCATGTTTGCTTTCTAGGCATTAGTCATGAAACTGCTGATGAAAAGGTGATTTTTGGCATTGAGTTTAATTCCACCTTCCTGGAATGTGTTCCCAAATCCCAGCAAGCAACTATCAAGTGGTACATCCAGCAGGCCGGAGCGGAGCAGCGCGAGGAGGTGAGCCACACCACTGGGGGGCGCTGGTACGAGCCTGGGGCCCGCCCTTGGCCATGGCGGCCTCTTGAGCCCAGGTGGATACAAAGGTGTGAACTAAATCCGCTTCCAAGGAGACCAAATTTTTAAAAAAAATTTGCACAATTTTTCATATTTTTATTTCTCATGGATTGCCTTTATTTTAGGAAAATTTCTTGTGAACATGAGCACAATATTGCTGACCGCATAGTGCCATGACTAACTTTTAAGTCACGTTCTATTAAGTGATGGTCACGGATGAAACATGAGTTTGTATGAAAATGTAAATATGTATTGTTATCCGATCATATGAACAAATCGGACATCAAAAAGTTAAAACAACAAAAGGAAGTAACACAGACACTCTGTTGACCTGTTCTGGTAACGTGTCTAGCATGTCATGTGACTGCAGTACGTCACAGAGGCTTTCTGACGTGGCTTTTATGTTACAGAATTTAATCATAGCTTTGTGCAGTCCGAGAAACCCTAGATTTATATTACTTAGAATTTCTGAAGCAGAAGTTCCTCGGCAGCGTTGAATTGTTATTTATTACTGCAGTGTAGGAAAGCTCCCAAATGAAAGGGAGCTCTGTAGCGGGGCAGGCGGGCTCTGGAATGGACGCTGAGCAGGACCACGCTCCCAAGGCCCAGGGAATGTCAGCGAAGCCCAAGGTGGGGTTTCCTAAAGGACACAGAATAGACTCTGAAGTTGCCCTGAAGAACAAACAAGAAAACACACTGGAAAGGTAGAATTTTGAAGCGAGTCTCGCAAAAATGTGAGCATGCAGGGGCCAGAAGTGGCACACGCCCCTGCCCGGAACACACTGTCCTGCCCGTGACCTCACCACCGAGGGCTCACGGCAGCAGTCATCTGACCAGCCTCTGCGATGCATTTCTAAACATTTAAAACCCAGGTGTCAGCTGTGACATTGAGAAACTCTGTGGCAGAAGGACACTGTGTCCTAAGAAGCTAGTCTAAGATGTAATTCCAGTGAGCTGGGTGTGGTCTCACATGTCAGGAATCCTAGCACTCTCGGAGGCTGAGGCAGGAGGATCCCAGTTTGAGCTCAGCCTGGGCAACTTGAGGACTTGGAGAAACTCATCCTCAAAAAGTTAATCTCACAATCTGTACATCTATACAAATACTCTTACCAAATTATCAGCTCTACATACTTAGCTCTCTGTCAAGTAACTCCGTCCTTTATAATCACATTTCTGCAATGAAGCACGATTCTTCGTCATTACTGATATCTGAATTCTACGATTCATCAGACTTAGAGTGACACTGAGTGTTGGAGGGTCTTACTTTTACCAGTGCATATTGGAGTGTTATCTAATGTAGAAAGATTTATTTCATAATGTACAGCAAGTACTTTTTATCCATGAAACACTAGATTATGGTTTTTGACATCCTGATTTGTTTTAATCACATTGCAGTGTTTCAATTTTCAATATAATTAACCAATACTATTCCTTTTATAGCTAGTAAAATTTGATGATTTCCTTTCAGTGAAATATAACCCCTTGATAAATGATCTGTGCTCCACAGATGTCTAATTTGACTTTTAGCAACAGCAGGACTCTGTCCGGTCCACTTCCAGCTGTGGATACCCATCAGTCTACGGTGATTTGCCTCCCAGTTTTCACTTCTCTGAAAAGGCAGTGCTGGCTCCAGTGCCCTTTGCACAGTGCCACACACAGTCACGGTGCTGCCATGCTTGTGAGTCTCCGTGGAGTGAAACAGCCCAGGCACTGAATGTCCCTCCCCAGTGTCCTCGCAGTGACATTGGCCTCCCCTGCAGTGGCGTCTCCTGCAGTGGGGTCTGCAGCCTGCTTCCTGCCCCTGCACTGGGCATTGTCCCAGCAGGACCCGCTCCGCTCTTCACCCTTAGGTCACAGCCTGAGTCTCTGCTTAGCTCCACAGACAGCTGAGGCCATGCGGTGTCCCCCATGGCAGGAGGCTGTCACCAGCCCACAGGAGGACGCTTCCTGCCCACGCTATTCACAGCTGGGCACTGCTGGAAGGTCGTGGCCAGCTACCTGCTGACTCCCCTTCAAGGCTCTTCTGGAAGTTGATGATTATTCTGTAACCGGCAATCTTTCCACAGTCCCTGTTTTGTACTGGGGGAGTCAGTGAGTCAGAGAGGACCCTTTATGTCATCTGCCAGGCTGGATTTTCTCGGTGAATTTTAATATTTTTAAACATCTTCAAATATTTGCATTTTTCCACTTTTAGGTCATTTTGTTTTTTCTTTTCATTATAAAAACCAATGTAAATGGTTTCAAAACACAACGGGCATGAGGAACCAGGAGGCCACAGGGAGTAGCAGGGCATGAGTAGCGTTCATGTGCTCAGGGACCTCGCGTGTCCCTTCCTCCTCCTGCCCACCAAGGCCCCGTCGCCTCAGTGCCCCAAGCCGCCCATATCATTCGTGTTTCCCTCAGAGCAAAGCAATGACCTTTCCTATGTGTGTCCTGGTTTTCTAACTACTTTCTTGGGCCAAATGCCTGAAAGCAAAAGAAATGTGCTAAAGACCCTGACTGTCTCTTTGGCCACACACTACCAGCTTTGCATCAAAGCTTCTGTGTGATGCCCACTCAGTGCCAGAGCGAGCCATGTGTGCACATCACCAAAGCTTTGCTACTCCACTGTGGGATTTCACTGTGCTAATCTTGATTCTGTAATATTAATGTGTATGCACATAACCTTCTCCTATTTGTAGCTGTCGAACTGAGTTGACATCAGTAACTTGATGTTATACATAAGTAAATTTAGTTTGCTACATCTCCTAACTTTGGTATTACTGACAATTCCTAACTTTTCTATAACAATTTTATATTTGTTGTACCGAAGTCTATCGATGAACAGTTTTGTAGTTTCTCTAACACTTAGACTCATTCCCAGTAAGACAGTGCACACACACACACACACACACATATGTACACATATGTGTGTATCTATCTCCATTTGTTTAAATTTTATTTTTACATTTATACTTCACATTTTATATTTACTCAAAGTTGTCAAATTAAGATTATTTAGGTACAAATTTGATTTTCAAAAATAATGAGTCAGTAGCTCTAGTACAATTTTCACATAAATAAATAGCCTTTTTCTGACACTTGCTTTAAAATGTTAAGTTTGGCTTTGTGCTCTTTCAGTCAAACAGTCATAAACAGTGTTGCATCAGTATACTTTGAGAAACGTAGAAAAGATATACAAGTTCTCCCATCTAATTCCTTTCCCTTCTCCCATAGTAAATGAGAAAAAATGCCATTGCTTTATTTTAAATACAGATAAACTTCGATAAGGTTTTGTAGATCCATCCCTCTGAGAACTTTCTTCGTTGAATAATCTGAATTTCCCCCAGTAATTTTCTGATTTTTGGAGAAAGGAGATGTTTTCAACTCATCCTCCTCCAAGCTGCAGAGAGTGACTCACCCAGGACAGGGCTGGCAGGTGAATTACCAATGGGCTGCTGTCACCAGCGGCAAAGTCCCTGACCTCAACGACTCTTCGGCTACTCTTCTCATTGCTGAGACAAAATACTCACAATCCACAAGTTCAGGGAGAGAGGTTTGTTTGGTTCACAGTGTGCAGAGTTTTTAGCCCATAGTCTTCTGGCTCCAAGGCAGAGGAGAAAAAGCTCATGGAAGGCAGAAGGCAGCAAATATAAGGCAGGAGAAAATCCCTTTCTGTCCTCTAAACTGTATCCAGACTACTAAGATTAGAGCAGTGCCAAACCAGTCAGGGGACTGATTTAGTGACCACATACCCTAAATCCAGCATCACACGCTGTAGATGCAGCCACCCCTGCAAGCCCCACCTATGACTGATGAGGCTCTGGGGACATCTAGACTCACCATAGCAGTGTCTGAACCTCCCTTCCCTTTCTGATGACACCCTTCGCTGAAGACCCACACTTACAGTGCCAGATTTCCCAGTCTGGCTCATGTTAGGCAGTGAATGGATAGCCCCCTCAGTCTGTTTGTATGACAGAGAGGATTTCATATCACTTCAGAGTGGAGACGATCCCAGGAGTTTAAATCAGTGGCCAGAGAGTCTGCTGTCTCCGCTGAGGAGGTGAATTTTCTAGTGGAGAAACAGCATGTATCATCCACTGCTGCTCCAGTAGAACCAGAGCCTCCCCAGAACTGGAACACAAGCCAGGCAGCTCCAGCAGGCCTGTACTTTCTAGGTCAGAGACTTTTACCTCTCAACTGTGAAATATGCCAATTCAAACTGTATGTCATCAGAGAGGACATCTCATTCCAGCTATAGTTTTGAAAATTTGGGAAAGAATCAAAACTGGCTAAATGATCTAATAGCCACTGGGTTAATATACAAAGCCTGTGATTTGTTACAGCAGGTTTTCTGTCTGTTCCAAAAAATGAACAGCATATTCCAGGGAGGCAGGACCAGTGGAGGCTCAGACGATCAGGTGTGCCAGGTGTTTATGATGTGTCCGGTCCCATGGGGCCGGGAGAACTGGGTCTCTGGCCGAGTGACACAGACAGGACGAAAGCAGAGCAGCGAAGTCCTGATGCAGGTCTGCTCAGCATGTGTGAGGTCAGAGGCACGGTTTCTTCCTGTCACAAGAGGAAAGAGAACAGAATGCCGTGAGTCAGCAGCGTGACAATCTCTAGAGGCCACAGCACGTGCAGCTTACCTGTTAGCAGCAACGCAGTTGTGCAGGGAAATCTAGCCACCATCAGGCCGACAAGCTTGGGCTGTTTTCTCGCAGAGAATTTCAGAGGCACCAGCTGCAGAAGGCAGCCTCTCCTGCAACCTGGGGCTCATCTGTAATGTTGCTAATGATGCTTCACACTGAAACCTTCAACAGCTCTGTGTCCAACCCCCAGCACACAGCTTGGCAGAGGGGTAGATGAGTTGTCCCAGGAAGCACACCACATGCAGGTGAGAATCCACGCCAGAGCCAGTACCTGGCATCTAAGATATATTTACACTTTAAAACATTCTGCAATAAAGTGATTGAATGGCAACACCTGTATGCAGGTGTGCACTCCGAGGTAGCACCTCTCTACACTTCCTAGTCCACGTTTGCAGTGCAGAGTGACCACATCCCGATGTGGAGGTGGTGTGTGTATAAGGAACCGTGATTCTTCTCGCAGCCCCTTCCTTCCTAAATTCGCCATTTCCGTTGAACATTGGCCCTGTAGCACCCATTCAAATGCATGTATTTTCAGAGGGAATCTCCCATGGCTGATCAGGAGGCAAATAAATTCAAGGTTGGTTCTGTTACAATGGCAATGGAAATGGCTTAGCCTTTAGCATAAATCCACCAAGACGACTGCACAGCCAGCCCACCAAACAAGGAAGGGAGGGAAGCAGACACAGGCAGACACACCTGCTGGCCAGGCTGTGGAGAGGAGGCGGCCTGGGACCCCCCCACCGAGGGCATCTGGGCTGTGCCCGCCCGTGGTGGATGGTGTCCCCAGCCCCCTTCTGCGGCTCACAGGGGTGTGCTGTATACTTAGAAGTTCACGGGCCTGGGAGCCCAGGTGTTTCTCTTCCTCTTCTCCTGTTTCCAGAATTAGAAGGATTTCCCCTGCATATCTTTCACAAAAAACTGCAAAGTCTGGTCCATCCACTATGAATCAATTTCATTCAGTAGAGTCGGCTTCCTGGATTTCCATCAGGTAGGACCCTCCCACACAGGCGGATGTGTCGATGGGGAAGTCTTGCAGATTTCTCTGTTGCTTTGCTCTGTTTCCCTGCCGTTTCCCTCGTGGCCAGTGACACGCAGCTCTGGCGTTGGTGAACAGACCACAGTCGCGTAATCGTGGTTGACACCAGGACCGGCCTGGCAAGCCTCGCCATGAATTCTGCTCCTGCCTAGCTTCAAAGCAGAAAGAGCCCCGCGCCTTAGGGAGCCTCTTTTAGCACACTGTGCTTTCTCTCCCTGGAAATCACACAACCACGTCAGCGATCACAAGGTATGACAAATATTTTCACAAAAGACGAGGTCCAGTTATCACACTCAGGTTCAACATTCAGTCTGGAGTCAGAGGGAAGTGCAGTGGTGACGCTGCGAACCCCCGGGCCGCCCGGCCCAGCTCTCGCGCACTGTGGCAAATGCACCTGAAATCGCCCGTAAATGGTCAGCTGTGGCCCGGTCCCTGCTGCTCCTCACTCCTGTCTGTGTGGGCTCAGATGCCGGGAACGCCGAGCCGTGGCCTGGCCGGTGCTTTCCGAGTTGCCCATTGTCGTGCTTAGTGACGCGAGGGGAGAAGGCGCTGTCCAGGGTCGCAGGGACAGCTGTGTGGTCTTCTGCCCCTGACCTCTTGCCTCTGTTCCCCGCTGCAGCTAAGGCCAGACGAGCGCATCGTGAGGACGGAGCTGGGGCTCCTGATCCGCAGCCTGCAGCGGAGGGACGCGGGCACCTACTTCTGCCAGGCCCAGGAGCACAGCTTCGAGCACACAGTGGCCAGGCTGGGCCTGCGCGTCATCGAGGGCCGGCAGATGGACGCCTGCCCCTGACCTCTTGCCTCTGTTCCCCGCTGCAGCTAAGGCCAGACGAGCGCATCGTGAGGACGGAGCTGGGGCTCCTGATCCGCAGCCTGCAGCGGAGGGACGCGGGCACCTACTTCTGCCAGGCCCAGGAGCACAGCTTCGAGCACACAGTGGCCAGGCTGGGCCTGCGCGTCATCGAGGGCCGGCAGATGGACGCTGGA